AAAGTTGAGGGGACGGTTGATGGGGGGCAGGACACACGCACCCCACAACCATAGCACTGCCAGATCTGAGCGTAACCGTAGGCAACCTGCCTGCACCTGCCTGGGTGGTTTGGGGTTTTTGTTCCCCTCTGCTGGCTGCCTCCTCGCGTCGACGGGGTGACGCCGCCGGGGCGGTTCCGTGCGTTAGCTGCTTCCTTCAAGGCCAAAATATTTGAGCAGGATGAGTAAAGATCTTTATTATCCAGTCGGGGGATCCCCGATGGTGCTCCCTGCCTTGCAGGGTGGGAGCAGGAAGGGGCCAGGCAGAGGGGGGTGCTCTGGGATGATGGTGCTGGAGCAACCGGCATCATGGCATGGGGAAGGGGTTGCACTTTGCACGGTGATGGAAACATGCCGGGCTCTCGCCGAACCCCGGTTAAACGTGAGCGCTGATAAGACTCCAGAAACAAACCCAACCCTGACCTGCTGGCACGTCCAGGGGAGGGGCGGGAATGGTGAAGCCAAGGGATTTCCAGGCCCTCGAGGGGGTTTGATGGGTCCAAATGAGCATGGTGGGATGTATTTCCTGGTACCTGTCGCCCCAGAACCAAAGGGATGGCTGTGGCAGGTGGCGTTTCTCCCCCTCCCGCCCTTCTCCGATAACCGTCGCCATCTCTGCAAACAAAGGGGAGGGTGTGGGACGCGGGTGACGGGTGACGAGGAGAGGAGAGGAGCGTCCAGCAAGCGAAACCCCACCCCGGGCGGGCACTTGAGCTGGCCCCGCCAGCCCTTATAAGCGCAGGTGCACCCAAGTGTAAGCCGATCCCCCAAGAGCTGCAAGCGGCAACAGGTGACGGCGACGGTTTCGGTCCGTGGGTTCTTCTCCGCCATCGCCCCGGAGAGCAGCAGCGAACCGGCCATCAGCATGTCGATGGGGTTGGAGATCGGCGGGGTGGCCCTGTCGGTGCTGGGTTGGTTGTGCAGCATCATCTGCTGCGCGTTACCCATGTGGAGGGTGACGGCCTTCATCGGCAACAACATCGTGACGGCCCAGATCATCTGGGAAGGGCTGTGGATGAACTGCGTGGTGCAGAGCACGGGGCAGATGCAGTGCAAGGTCTACGCCTCCATGCTGGCCCTGCCGCAGGACCTGCAAGCCGCCCGCGCCCTCCTGGTGGTGGCCATCGTCTTGGCCGTCCTGGGCGTGCTGGTGGCCATCGTGGGCGCCCAGTGCACCCGCTGCGTGGAGGATGAAAGCACCAAGGCCAAGATCACCATCGTCTCCGGCGTCATCTTCCTCCTCTCCGGCGTCATGACCCTCATCCCCGTCTCCTGGTCGGCCAACACCATCATCCGGGATTTCTACAACCCGCTGGTGCTCGACCCGCAGAAGCGGGAGCTGGGCACCTCGCTCTACGTGGGCTGGGCGGCTTCCGCGCTCCTGATGCTGGGGGGGGCCCTGCTCTGCTGCTCCTGCCCCCCCAAAGACGACAGGTACCCCACCGGCAAGGTGGCCTACTCCGCCCC